CCAGAAACTTAAAACTTCTTAAAGCATCATGTATTTGCACGTATGAAACTGAATTCACAATTATTAGGACTTAGATCAGAGATCTACGAAGAAATAAATAAAACAATATTATTAGTACCTGCTGTGCACGTTTGTAATATGCATCATAGTAACCAGCTGAGAGGGCATATGTTCCCATTAAAATTCTCATTTTGACCTAAGACATTTAAAATTGAAAGGTAGCTTAAATAGCAATACCAACACATATGAACCATTTCTCTAAAACCGGTGTTTGTAACATTAAGCTACCACTCATCTTGGAGTCAAATTTGAAATTAAGAAGGAAGGACAGGTGAGTACCTCAGAACCAAACCCTTCAGCTCGGGAACCTCCATAAAGAGAATCTAGTTCGTCAGCATAAACTTGGTTTCCTTATCTAAATATATACAAATGGTCAATTAATGCCAGGCTAAAGGTTTATCAATGAAAATGTATTCAGAGGGGAGAGAAATAAGAAAGGTGATTAGAGTCACTGACCTGATACCATCATAGCGAGACAAGTTGGAAGATGATTCAGACACAGCAAGGATATAATATGCAGGCAAGCCCAGGGAAAAGGATGGCAGTGAGACCTGTAATAAGTTCGTAGCAAAAGATAAGGACATCCTGAAATATAAACAGCAATAATACAAACTTCAAAAGAACCAATAGAAGTCGTCATTCATAGAGAAAAATGATATAGAACCTCATTCACAGAGCATCCTAATTCCTCAAAATGCATAGCAGCAGCACGAATTGCTGAAATTACTCCAGCATCAACACCCTTGTCAATTGTTTCACGGATCAGACCAACTCTCAGTCCCTTCAAGGGTTTACTTTCCAAGGAGCTCAAAGAGACAAAGTGAGACTGGAAGTCAGGCACATCCTGAAAAACGAAACCATATTGTTGGAAAGACATTGGCTTAATAAGAAGAAATCAATAACGCTTATATCCACTGATTTCAGAAATCACCAATCTAATTGAGGAACAGAATTTACTAACATTATTAATATCCCTTGCAAACAATGAGAAATTGGAAGGATTATAATAGTTAGACCAAACTTTGTGAAAACTCATACTCCTCCTACCTGCTTACTTGAAGTGGCATCAAATCTATCATGACCTGCAATTGCATGAAGGAGAATCCCGGTATCGGCAACTGATGAACCAAAGCAGCCAATGGTATCAAGTGATGATGCATATGCCATAAGTCCAAATCTTGAAACACGCCCATATGTTGGCTTCAAGCCTACAACACCACAAAAAGATGCCGGCTGCCTCACACTTCCACCAGTGTCACTTCCCAGTGATACAACACACTGTCTGGCAGAAACTGCAGCTGCTGATCCTCCTGATGATCCTCCTGGCACCCTAGACTCATCCCAAGGGTTGGCAGTCACCTATTGAATGAACATATGCAGCACCTGAGTAAACCAATCGCAGTTATAAATGGGAAATACAAATAATAGGACCTACACACAACCCCTCTTTTATCCCATTAAGCTTTGCAATAACAGAGGGGAAATAACATAGCAGGAATGAAAATTAGTAACACATTAATGCATGTAAGGTCCATCATGTCATTCATTGACAATTTTCATTCCCCATTTCCTATACCAAACATACTCTGAAATCCTGCTTTCAATATAGAACAGGTAATCAATACTTCAACTCCTAGAGACAAATGAAAAACAGAGTCATAAAGTCACCCATCCTCAAATAACGCAAAGTGGGCATTCGACATTTTAGAAGATACATTCTTAGACACACCCAGCATCCCACAATGCTCTTAAGATCACACCATTTAACATCAACCTTCTGAATCTTCAATCACGTTTCTAATGTAACTTCTGTAAATAGCAGATTATTAGAATAAAAATATTCTCAATATCCCCATAGTAATTAGGAAAAAATANTTTACTAACATTATTAATATCCCTTGCAAACAATGAGAAATTGGAAGGATTATAATAGTTAGACCAAACTTTGTGAAAACTCATACTCCTCCTACCTGCTTACTTGAAGTGGCATCAAATCTATCATGACCTGCAATTGCATGAAGGAGAATCCCGGTATCGGCAACTGATGAACCAAAGCAGCCAATGGTATCAAGTGATGATGCATATGCCATAAGTCCAAATCTTGAAACACGCCCATATGTTGGCTTCAAGCCTACAACACCACAAAAAGATGCCGGCTGCCTCACACTTCCACCAGTGTCACTTCCCAGTGATACAACACACTGTCTGGCAGAAACTGCAGCTGCTGATCCTCCTGATGATCCTCCTGGCACCCTAGACTCATCCCAAGGGTTGGCAGTCACCTATTGAATGAACATATGCAGCACCTGAGTAAACCAATCGCAGTTATAAATGGGAAATACAAATAATAGGACCTACACACAACCCCTCTTTTATCCCATTAAGCTTTGCAATAACAGAGGGGAAATAACATAGCAGGAATGAAAATTAGTAACACATTAATGCATGTAAGGTCCATCATGTCATTCATTGACAATTTTCATTCCCCATTTCCTATACCAAACATACTCTGAAATCCTGCTTTCAATATAGAACAGGTAATCAATACTTCAACTCCTAGAGACAAATGAAAAACAGAGTCATAAAGTCACCCATCCTCAAATAACGCAAAGTGGGCATTCGACATTTTAGAAGATACATTCTTAGACACACCCAGCATCCCACAATGCTCTTAAGATCACACCATTTAACATCAACCTTCTGAATCTTCAATCACGTTTCTAATGTAACTTCTGTAAATAGCAGATTATTAGAATAAAAATATTCTCAATATCCCCATAGTAATTAGGAAAAAATATCTTCATAATCTTTCTATGCATTTCTACATATTTTATTTTCTCTTTTAAAGGTTTTAACTATTACAAATAGGAATGATGAAAATGTAACCCATCTAATTGGTATCAAAGCATATCAGAGTCTTCCTTAGCATTGTTTGCAGGGTCTATTGTGCAACTCATTATCGGGTCCTCTTTTATTCCCATACTTGATGTTATCAAAGTGAGGAGATGTGTTGAAGATCTCATATCATCTTGGGATTTGACCAAATAATAATAGATAGATGTGTACAAACCTCACCTTATTAAGCTAATTTTGTTAGGTTGAATTGGGTTTTAAAAGTAATCTTACAAACTCTAAATTTCTAAACATCAACAATAGTGTTTGGGAAAAATTCAGTGAGTGTCCTACCTACCTATTCAGAAATCCTCCTCTCTTGCCTCATTTCTGACATAAAGTACTTTCTATATAATAATAAATAAAAAGGATTAAAGGAATATTTAGTCCATGAAGCATATCCAAAATTTGATTTTATTATCAATTTTTAAAACTAATCAATTTTGCCCATGTATTTTTAAAGAGAAGAAAAGAATATGTACTAACATTTTAAAATAGTGTTACATTGCCATTTACATGGTAAATTTGTTGACTTTATAACTTATATGGGTGGTGATGATTTGTGACTGGACGACTGAGACGCCCATTAAACTTTTTTTTTCTTTCAAATATCCAAACATTTTCCTGCGGAAGGGTAGGAAAATATGTGTAATTAAAAAAATGAAGTACCCAAAACCAATGTTTCAAAACTTAAATATTACAATCAAAATTTAGAAAATTTTCAGAGACTAAAACACCAATAATACTAGTATAACTAAACAATAACAGAAGTAGTGGTAGCAGAGCTTGGTTGAGCTTGAATCCTCATTCAAACCTAAAAATGCATACAGTGTACTAAGTTTCAAAATTAATCAAACAATTAACTTTTAAACAAAAAAAAAATTCAAATTGCAATATAAACCATAGTAAAAAAATGTATAAATGCAATATTAGGAGAGAGAGAACCTGAAATGCAGAAGCTTCAGTGGTGCTTCCCATTCCAAACTCATCCATATGGTTTTCCAACCACAATTCCCCCCAATTCCCTCAGTCTTTCACCGCCGGCGCGTCGAACGTGGCCGGTACCCGGCCAGGACGCGCGAACCACACCGTGGACGGCATGTCCTTGGTACAAATGTTGTCCTTCACGCAGACGAGCACGCCGGCGAGGGGACCAGGGTCGTCGCCGGCGGCGATGCGAGCATCGAGCAGGCGGCCTGGGCAAGGAGGCATCATCGTCCGGGAGGTGGAGGAAGGCGCGGAGACGGGGCTCGGCGAGGCGGAGCCGCGCGAGGCGGGAGAGGGCGATGGTCGACGGCGGAGGCACGGCGGGAGAGGAGTGTTTGGCGGGTAGAGAGGATTTCGGAGTGCGGCGGAGCGAGGTGGTGAGGGTTGGGGTTTGGTCAGTAAGGGAGGGCGCGTGAGGTGTAGGAGTGGGAGTGGCGAGTGAGCGAGAGGCGAGATAGGGAGCGAGGGGTTTGAAGTGGGATAGTAGCATTTTTCAGTGAGGAAATGAAAATCAATGAATGAACTAAATATAACGTATCACTTATACTCACCTGTGTATAACAAAGGAAGAAGAAGACGAAGGCAAAAAAAAAACACATTTCATCTTATTATCTCATGTTTAATTTTGACAACTATCTCTGAGCTAATATTAAAAAATATACTCGTAATTATATAAAATAGGTGAAATTTTTTAATTTTAAAAATTGTTGCTGCCATTAATAAAACAAATAAATTATATCGCATGACGTTGTCTTTAATTTTTAAACAAATACTTACTTTTTTGTATTTTAATAAAATAGTATTCACATCTTTTATTTTATTTAAATTCATATGTGTATTAAAATATATAAATATAATAAGGTAATAAATTTATCCATATATTTTACATTTAAGAAACTTTTGTCATAAAATAGTTTATATTTTATATGATCATCTATAATTTGTTCGAAAACTATAATTATTTATATTGATCATATACAATAATTAAATTTTTCCGCTGATATAGTTTCTTTTAATTTTTACATTTAAAATTTTCAAGTTTTAATATTTATAATTTTATTTTATAAGTTAGATTATTTAAAATTATAGGAGATGAGAGTATAGTTTAATATGATTATGAGGGAAGTAAATCTAAGTACGTTTTTAAGAATTAAGATCTAAGACGTTTCTTTTTTGGAATTAAATGAGTCCACATTGAGTATTTTTTATCGAGATGATGGGCTTACTTTAGTCAGAATGTCTTTTTGAGTGTAATTGATAATTTATCCTCAATCATTTGCACATTTAAATTATGTTATATACTATTGTTAATGTTTTGATTACTTGATTTTACTTTTGTAGAAATAACATTTTTTTTATTTTGTTTCATCATCTTTTATTGATTTAGTTTAGAGGTATTTTATAAATTGGTTAGATGAATGAGTGTAAAGTGCAAAATCAGGTTTTGTAACAAGAACCAAAATACTCCATAGTGAGATTAAATTTTTACAGGATGTCTTCCTGAAAAGAATTTAGCACTCTTTCATCAAAATCAATATACATTTGCCTATAACTTTAGTGTTGTATATGTTCTTAGTTAGTTTCTTGTATTTTTTTCATTTGCTGAACATGTTTTGGATTAGTTTTAGCTTAGATAATAATTTCTTGTTTTCTTGACTATGTTCTTTTAAATCATGAATTGCTTTGCTTTATATTCTTGTTTCACAGGTTCTTCACTGATTATTTGATTTGGTTAGTAATTAGATTTCTCAATTGTAATATGCATTTCTAGTTTCTTTGTAAATCAGTAGATCATATTAGCTATAGAAATTAGGTCCTGTTTCTATTATTAGGCAGTAGCAATGTTCACTAGTTTAAGTCCTTTCTTTTGCATTAATTTCTTAGTCTAGTTTAGGTTTCATATTAGAGTTTCATTTTCTTCAGCAAGAATTAACTTTACACTTTAAACTTAATTGTACCGAGTCCGATGATTGATACCTAGGTTGTCCCTATACTTCATTAGTGGGGAAATCTAGTTTGTTCTGATTTTGTGCGACCAAAATCTAGTTTAATAATTAGCTTTAACTTATCAGCAATGTTTTTCATCTTCTTAAGATATTGTTCCATCTTTATGTTTCCTTTTCATGTGTTGTGAAATTCATATTTCAGATAGACAATTATGGACCTGGTGTGTGCACCAACAAGACTTTGTTGGGTCTATCGAGGAGGAAGTTCACCGGGGAGACACAGTACCAATGAGATATGAATCCAACCACATAAGATATTGACACCACTTTCTACCCAAAACCTTAAGGCAAAGGGTTAATGGGTCTTTCATCTTTATATAGTGCTCTACTTTCTCATTTCTATCTAATGTGGGACTTAGACTCACACTTGGATTCCCAACAATCTCCCCCTCAAGGGTGAGCCCCTTTCACATAGGTACACTCCCCCTCCAGCAAAAGCATTCCCAACCAACCACAACCACGAGTAGTCCTTCGTACCGTCGTTCATCTTAATGGGACTTGCTTACGTGAATACCTTTGCCAGGAAGACTTTGGGTATAGGAACCATTATACTTGTCTGAGCCGGTCATCATGACAAACCATCGGCTCTGATACCACTGTTGGGTCTATCAAGGAGGAGGTTCACCGGGGAGACACAATACCAATGAGATATGAGCCTAACCATATAAGGGATTGACACCATTCTCTACCCAAAACCTTAAGGCAATGGGTTAATGGGTCTTTCATCTTTATATAGTGCTCTACTTTCTCATTTCTATCTAATGTGGGACTTAGACTCACACTTGGATTCCCAACAATCTCCCCCTCAAGGGTGAGCCCCTTTCACATAGGTACACTCCCCCTCCAGCAAAAACATTCCCAACCAACCATAACTGCGAGTAGCCCTTCGTTCGGCTTTCCATGTGCATCATCTCACATCGGGTTTTCTTATTTCAATCAGATTTGACTTCTTCTTTTTCCTTATGGCCCTCTTGTCTTTTACCTTGGTTGACCTCTTTAATACTTTGACTGACTTTGTTATGCCCAACTTCTCAATAACTTTGACCAACTCGTTTCTGACCTTAGGTGATTTCTTACAATCTTGGCTGACATCTTCATCAGGTTCTCCTCAACATCTTCCTCTTCGTTTGGTTCAAGAACACTAGATGCTTTCTCTTCTTTTTCAAGAGTTGCCTTCTTCAACTCGTCAAGCTCAACCCTCTATTTATTCATAATTTCATTAGTTTCATCTAGAAGCCTCCCTATCCGCTGAATCTCTTCTTTTTGTTTGAAAACTTTCTCCAGGTTTTCTTTCTCCACAATTGTTGCATCCTTTAACGAGATCACTTCATCCATTGTTGAGACTGAATTTTCCATGTCCACTACATCCGAGCTCTTTGGCAGCAACATGGTCCCACATTCTTCTTCTGCATCATCAATAAGAAGATTAGTCTCCCCTTTTGTCTTGGTCGTGCAATACTTTGCAATATGGCCCACCTTACCACAATTGTAGCACTTTTTTTGTCTACACTTGTTTGCATAGTGGTCATACTTGCCACACTTAAAACAATAAACTCCTGACCGATCTCCTCGGCCTTTCCCTTGTCCTCGGTCACGCCAATTTTGCTGACCAATTTGCTATTCACTATCATTCTCAAAATTACATCGCCCACGTCCACCTCGTCCTCGGCCTCCTCGCCTTCTACCGCCAGGACCTCAGCTCTGAGTAATCCGAGTTTTATTCGAGTCAAACTGTACATGTAGTGCTTGATCGTTGGGTTCAACCTGATCATCCCAACTCCTTCTCCTTTGCCTGTGGGCTTATAATGACCCAACAAGTTCATCCATAGTGAGAATTGACAAGTCCTTCGATTCTTCGATGGCGCACACGATACTTTTGAAATCTTTTGTAAGGGATCTCAAAATTTTTCCCACAACCTGTAAGACCCGAGAAATTGTAGAGTTTCTAAATAAAAGTTGAGTATGTTTTATTAAAATCTGCATGAGTTCGCAAGGTGCTGTGTAGTTCAGTTGGTGTGCAAGTCTTTTATAAAACATAAGTTCTATGTTATTTATTGATTTTGTTGATATAAATGTAACACATGTTATTGTATGGTTGTTAAATTTATGATGTTTTATATCTTCAATGTGATGTGTTGGCTTATTGGTAGAGTTGTGTGTGTAGGATTGAATGAATGTGAGTTCAAATCCTAGGGGTACAGAGAGGAGAAAATATTTTTAGAAGATAGCATAAACGTGCTTCTGGGATTGATTGATCTTCAATCTTAAAGCTTTAGAATTGATTAAGGTATGAGAAGCTTACCTTTTCTTTATTGTATGATGAACATTTTCTTGAGTATATTTTATGATTATAAAAAGTTACATTTGCATTTAAATGGTGATTAATTTAATTGAATGCTTAATATCATGATTAGATATTTTTGGTGTGGTAGGATGATTTTTGAATTTTTGGTTGATCCTGTTAATCAGAAATAAATTGCATTATTTCTTGCGTATTATCATGTTAATATCCAATTTGGATTTCAAGCCATTGAATGTTACGAATTCTATAATTGAATTCACGTAATTTAATGTTATAGGAATTTAAGTAATTGAATTTTGTATCAGGAGAGATTAGGGTTTTAGGGATTCTTTTAATTAGGGGTTAATTAGAATTAGGGCTAGTTTTAAAAACTAAAATTTTTATCCAGAGTTTCTTTTTGGTGCCTCTCTCACAGATAATAGGTTCCCTTCCTTCTTTTCGTTTTGATTCCGTAATCCGAAGCTTCAAGCTTCTTCTCCTCTCTGATCTCGCTGACCACCCAACCTTGAGAAACCCATCTGTGGCTCTCGCATTCGGAGTGGCTTCGTGGGGGCGAAGACGAAGGCACGACTGAAGCGCAGTGGAGGCGCGAGTATGGCGTGGCGGAGGCGCAACAATGGCGTGGCGGAGGTGCAGCGAGGGCTTTTGCGTTTCGTGGAGAGGGCCTCTGCGGGTTACGACGAGGATGTCGTTTGGGGATTTCCTTTGGGTTCTCTTCTATCTTCAAGCTAACGATTTTGGGTGGATGATTTTGGTTCCTTGTAGGTTTTGATTCACGGCGAAATCCTCCTTTCCCTTCTGATTTTGCGATTTTAGGGTTTTAGTTGTTCATCAAATTTTGGGGCTTCTGTGATTTCTTTTGATTTGAGATGTAGGGTTTTGATTTGGGGAATTTCAGGTTTTGTTTTGGGTTGAGGTTTCTGAAGTTGGGGATTTCTAGGGTTGTTCCTCTGTTCTTTATCGTAGGTTTTGGATCACGTTTTTGAGTTGGAGTTTGAATTGAGATTTTTATTTTTGATTTCGTGTTTGAGTTTGAAACTTATGGGTTTAATTGAATATGTGAGTTTGCCTTTTTGGTGTTTGATCTTGTAAACATGATGAGTTGTTTGGCATTCTATTTCTACCTCGTTTTTGGTTTGCTTTCTCGCCGTGGTTGCGAGGGCAGCGGTCGTTACAGGTGGTACGGTTACGAACCTGTATGGCGAAGTTACAGGTGGTACAGTTATGGGCCTGTATGGGGAA